CCCCCCCCCCCCCCGCGCGCACCTTGTCCATCCTACGGCGGAGCCCCGGTCTCGCCCACCACAGCACGCCCTTGGATCGTAGCGACAGCAGCATCGGCCACGGCAAGGAGGCAGCCAAGGCGACCTTCTGCAGCGACTTCCATCTCACCGCCCCGCCCGCCCACATCAGCAGCCGGTAGTCGATGGAGATCTGAGATGGACGAAGACGACGACGAAGGACGATTTTCTGCAGAATTTAGAGTACAGTCGTGCCTCACTTAAGGGCACCACAAGTAAGGAAACTACCTTGGTTAAGGACAGTTTTTTTTTTTTCTCCACAGGCATGGTGGCTCGCAGAATGTACAACACAAGGAGGGGTATCAGCCTTGAGGGCACTTCCCCGGCTTAAGGACACACTCTTTAGCAAAAGAACAGGGTGTGTACTCAACCGAGTTTCGACTGTATTTGGACGTGGTGGTGGTCGATGGAAGCTCGAGGGAAGCACAGCAGACGAAAAAAAAACAGCGGGGACACGGCGGTTTCTCCTTTTCATATATAACGAGGCACATAACAATCGGGGAGATACGCTTCTGTGTGCCCAAGCATTGGAGGCTATTACCCCGCAGAAATGCTGTGAGCGCTGATCAAAAGTGATCTACAAAAAAAAAAACACTAGCAACTGATCCAGGTGTTGAGAAGAAGCGCGACGATGGCACTAGGGGGGTTCATGGGCACAAGAAGATGCATAGATGGATGTTGTACGTGGCTCCTCGAAGGGAAGGACGTGAGGCGAAGGACGTGTTTGGAGGCTGAGGAGGAGGCGGGGGACGGATGGACAATAACTTGAAGGGCAAGCATGCGTCCACCGAACGCACACCCTACAACATGCCGGTTCCGCCCCCCGCCCCCGCAGACCTTGAGCCGTATGCAACGGGAGCATATGATACCTTCACGCCAAAATAACAACAAAACAAGGTGGTACAGTAAGCAGCCCGATACAGTATAGTGGCATATCGGGGGGGGCGTAGAATATGGCACTATTCAGGGCAGTGCCACTATTGGATATATCGGCTTCATGTACATGTTGAGATAATGACAAGAGATATTGATGCTACTAGTCTATATATCGGTATTCCCACCATTGGAGTCGCCACAACAATGCATATCTGGCCGTCTCTGTTACACATGAGCGCCGGCCACCACTTCTTTTCGTGGCTCGGGGTGTGTACCGTATTGCATCTGTGTACAGCAGTATCGCAAACCTGGTGCACGCAAATCACACGCAGCAGCAAGATGCAGAGTGCCACAGCGGTATCTCACCTGTAAACCATCGGAAAAAGAAAACATCGAAGACACGACTCTACAGTACTTCTTGCGGGGTGAGGAATATTGATACTGAGAGATACATCCCCCTCGTGGCATATGAAAACGCTTTCAAGGTACGGGCGATCATCACAAAATGGAGAAAAACACATCAACAACACATCAACCAACACAAAACACGGCATGATCTTAAACTTTATTCTATCATCGACGGGTTGAAGCCATGGACAAACCGTGAAGTAACTTTACCTAACCCGAAATTGGTCCAAATTTCCATCCGCGTTCAAATGGGTGCAAATTTCCAGTGATCGTTGGTCTCAAGCGTGACGGAGAGACACTAAGATATCGAAATAAAGAAACTCCAGGTACATGTTAACCAAACGTTTCCTATTCTTGTAGGACTGATATTCATCTCGCCTGTACCAGCGCCGGAAGCAGCAGCAAGCACGCGCAGAGCAAGCAAGGTGCCCGGGAATCGCCATGCACCTGAAGGAGGAGTGGATGAGTGTGCAAGCCATGGGCACGGGAAGAGCTCGATGACATGCTAAAGCAAGAAATGCACGGGCAAGAGAGTAGTAGAACATCAAGTTGTTCAGAAAGCGCAGAGATTGGTTTGATGCTTCATAGCACCTTTTGGGGGCTATTGCAAGAAGGCTGGCTGTTCACAGCTAGTCAGCGACAAGGGGTTTGTTTCAAAGGGGCTGATACAGCAAGTCAGGGCGACACACGACAGAGAGACGGAGAGAGACAAGATATAGAAAAGACAAACTGACAGACAGACAGCCCTAGAGAGAGAGATGCAGAGAGGGGGGCTCTCTTTCTCGGCAAGAAAAAATGGTGCACAACTGCTCTAGTCCCTAAGGGGGGCGAAGAGCTTGCAGACAAAGCACGTGCAGCAGTCACCGCCTTCGCGCTCGTGTGCTACATACCCCGGAAGCCAAGGCTGTAACGACTATCGAAAAAATCACGTGGTACAATGCTGCCATCACTGATAACAATTCAGTGTTTAGGCTAAGATAGACTCGAAATAAGCACAGCACATTCCGCCGTTTTTCTCCTACTCAATGTAAAGACTTCAACCCACCCCCTTCGTCTGCTTGCTGTGGTTATACCTCGAACGGGTACAGTAGTATTTCTTTGGTTGTATGCACTACTATTTTCTAAAATTAACGAAATACAACACGAAAGCATACTATGCGAGGGCGAACGTCACACAAAGTACGTATTTCTGTAGTTGTATGTGTAGTTTCCACGAAAAGCTTCCATATCGTCGCCAAAGGGGAAACGCCCCCGGTAGCCCACACGGTCCGGCAGGAACACGCACCGCTTTTACACCAAAGAACGTGGAATGGCGTCGTCGGGCTCGTGTGTTCCATCGCCTAGACACGCCGCACGAAACTTTCATTGCTGCCCACGCTGTAAGAACACGCGACTCTGACCAATCGGCACACTAAAACTGAAATCACAAGACCGTTCAGGTTGTTGGGGTTGATAAGAAGCTGCGACTCGTTCTTCTGCCAGCACTATCTGTACACTCCGACCGCGCAAAGAGAGCAGTTCGGATACGCAGATATCGTCGAGGTCGTGAGTGCAGTAAGGCAAGGCAAGCACCGCTGAGGGAAAGGCAACCTAGGTGACACAGGGCGCCCCACCCTCCGGACCATTTCCCAGAGCTTGAACAGTCCACGACGAAGAGGATGTACCGTGAATCAAGCGAAATACGTTCGGCAACCTCTCGTCGACATGATTCCAACACCGGTCTCTCCTCTGCGGTGGAGTATTCGAGCTTTGCCCGGGGTGTGTGATGTATTACGTCACCTACAGTAGCTATCTAGCTGCGGACGGCAGACACACGCACGGCGATGAGCTCCCAAGGACGAAAACACCACGTGATTTGGGCGAGGCTTGGGTGGTAGACCAGATAATTCGAGGACCCGTGCACACCCCGAGCTATCGCGGCGTGTGCGCGCCGAAGCGGTGCTTGGGCACACTTCATTGTCACTCGAGGACGGCAACAGAACCCGTGTGTGACTGGCAAGTGCTACACAGCGTGTGCTTGCGTGTCTGCACCAGTGCCCCCGGGGGGAACAGCCGTTCCCGTCTGACAACCGTACAGCGGCACGCCAGCGTTCGGCAACAACGGAAACAACGCCGGCAACAGCAACGACGGCAGTAGCGGCAGCACAACAACGAACAACCAACGGTAGTCGTTGACATGAAAACACACACACACACACACACACACACACACTTTTCATGGTAGATAGAAGTGTTTTGTGTTTTCAACCGCACTAAGACTGACGTCTTTTCATTGGTCAGCCGGTTAGCGCGGTCGATGCTAATAAACACACACACACACACACACACACACTTTTCATGGTAGATAGAAGTGTTTTGTGTTTTCAACCGCACTAAGACTGACGTCTTTTCATTGGTCAGCCGGTTAGCGCGGTCGATGCTAATAAACACACACACACACACACACACACACTTTTCATGGTAGATAGAAGTGTTTTGTGTTTTCAACCGCACTAAGACTGACGTCTTTTCATTGGTCAGCCGGTTAGCGCGGTCGATGCTAATAAACACACACACACACACACACACACACTCACCCCCCCAGCTCCGCCCCCCCCCAGCCCAGAGCGCAGCGGTACCGCGTACAGGCCAACCGAGGCGTACATGAACAAGGCAACGCACGGGGCCGCGAACGTCGCCCCCCCGAACGCAACGCCGGCCCAGGTGAGGATCGCGGCGGCTGGCAGTGGAAAGCAGGAGAACAGCAGCCTGCAGAAACAGAGGAAAAATCGGCGGGGGGGGGTACCCTTATGTTTTGCGTGCCTGTGCGGTTCGACCATTGACCACGCGTCTTCGAGATGACGGAGCATTGTTCCCACGGGACCGATCACCGATGGCCAATCGCTCCTTCCTACTTTGCCAACAGTGGCTCAAAAATGTGTCGCCTAGTCTATCTATCCTATCGATATCACTTCCCGCCTTTCCAACCCACTTTCGATGTCCAAGTACAGCTACCGTCTTCTCCTGGGTATTCCAAACCTCAAACATCTCCCTGTATCTTCCTTCTACTTTTCGCAGCTCAGTCATGTACACTTCCCTCTCCTTCTTGTACAACCGACATCCTGCCGCAATCACATTTTAACTTGTCGTCTTCATCGTCTACCTTCCTACATTTCCGTCTTCGTTCTCGAAGGTCAATGTCCCCGGTCCTGAATTTGGCCTTCAGCCTTGTCCCTGCATCCATTGGTCCATGTAGGTAATCCTTGAACCCTATTCCTTCTTTCAACATGACATTCACTTGTAGACCCTCCTTATCCTTGATTTCTTTCGTTATATTCTGTTCTTCTCTCTCGGCAAAAGCAACAGATATCTTCTCCTTGAACCCGTCGAGAACTTCCGTTTCCAGCGTACCACCTTCGTCGATTTCGAACTCCTTCCATACGTAATCTACAACCTCGACTCCGTGGGTTGTCTACCCCTCTTCTTGGTTGGACGGCGGGGGGGGG